GGACGCCGCAGCAAATATATACGCCTTGCTCAAAAAATATGATACCGCTATTCAACTATATCAGCGCAGTATCGTATCCCGCGCAGATCAAGGTATGGAAGGTGATGTGTCTGTCTATATTAATATGGGCATTATCTTGAAAAACAACGGTAACTACCCCGAAGCGCTTAACGCCTACCGGATGGCCGACAGTATAACAGCGGCACAGAACAAAGGTCCTATTTTTGAAATGACCATAGCTGATAACCGGGCCATCCTGTATGGCGCGATGGGCAGGCTTCAGGAAAGCGAAATCCTCGCGAAGCATGTCCTGGAAAATGTACGAAAGCTTGGCCATGTTGGTCTGCAAATAGACATAGTAGGACACCTCAAAAAGCTCTACCATAGCCAGGGACGTTACCAGGAATCGCTGGAGTATGCTGACTCACTGGCTGAGATAAAAGAACGGATACTGAACGATGAAAAGACACGTCAGCTGGCAGAGTTGGAAGCGCGTTTCGATGCCAGTGCAAGAGACGAGCAGATCATTGTTCAGCAGGCGGCGCTCCGGAAGGGCCGGCAGCAGAATCTGCAGCTTTGGGCAGGTATCGCCCTGCTTTTTACAGTAGGGTGTGCAACGTATGTGGGGCTGAGACGCAGCCGGCGGCTCAACCGGAAGATCAGCAGCCAGCAGCAACAGTTGGTACAGCAAAAAAATGAGCTGGAGCATATTAATGAAATGAAAGATCGGCTGTTCAGCCTGATTGGCCATGATGTGCGCGTGCCGCTGAACTCACTCATGGCCTATGCTACGCTGCTGGACCACCAGGATGATCTGCCGCCGGAGAAGATCAAAAGATATAATACAGATCTTCGGGAGGCGCTGGGCGCCACTACCGTACTAATGGAAAATCTGCTGCAGTTTGCTAAAGCACAGATCCGGTCGCCGCAGCCTTATCCTGAGATTATTCAGCTGAGTTTGGTGATGGACCGTACACTGAAGTTGCTGCAGCCTGCCATTGCGCAGAAAAAAATCCTGCTTCAGATAGATTTTCAGGAGGAGACTACCGTTTTTGCTGATGAGGACATGACCGAAGTGATCTTGCGTAACCTGGTCAGCAATGCGATCAAGTTTTCCAATACCGGCGGTACTATTTTCATCTCTATAAAACCCCTGGACGATATAAATAGCTCTTGCACGATACAGGACACCGGAACCGGCATGAAGCCTGAGCTGATCGCTTTATGGAACGATGCTTCCGTGCCGGTGCTGGTGCGAAGCAGGATGGGCACGCAATACGAAAAAGGCGCTGGGCTCGGGCTGATGCTTAGCAAGACGTTTACGACGATTATGGATGGAAGCCTGTCTGTGAAAAGCAAGGAGGGCGAAGGGTCTGTTTTCTCGTTGCTGCTTCCCCGAAAAAAGCAGTTTAGCTGCGTGTAGCATTTTTTTCGATAACCCTGGCTGACTATTCGCTTTACCCGGTCCGGGACCCTAAAACTTAATTTACAGATGAAGTATCAGTGTATTATTGTAGAGGATAATGCTGTAGAACGTGATCTGCTGGAAGTGCTGCTGGGTAAAAGGCCGGATATTGTCATCTCCGGTATTTTTGAGAATGGGCTGGAGGCACTCAGGTATCTTCAGGGACAACCGGTAGATATCGCTTTTGCTGATGTGGATATGCCTGAGCTCAGCGGCATGGGGTTGCTAAAAAGCCTTCGTCATCCTCCTGTCTTTATTTTTATCAGTGCTCATAGCAAGTACGCTGCGGATGGCTATGATCTTGATGTGCCGGACTTTGTCCGGAAACCCTTTAGCCCGGAGCGTTTGTTTAAAGCAGTGGATAAAGCTATTGAGCAGCTGAAGCAGCAACGCAGTTCTAAGGAGGTTGCAGCGGAAGGCATCCTGATAGCACGGACCTCAGAAGGACTGAATAAGCTGATCAT